ACGTAACAATTTCACCAGGAGACTATGCTCCAATTCAAACACTGAGTAAGTGCATTGAACAAATCAATGACTGGATGTGTCAGAACTTTCTCCAATTAAACAAAGATAAAACTGAGGTAATGGTTTTTGGAGCCAAGTCAGAACGTATAAAAGTTAGCGCTGAGCTTCAGTCTGCAATGTTCAAAACAACAGATAAAGCCAGAAATCTAGGTGTAGTCATGGACTCTGACCTGAGTTTCAACAGTCACATTAAAACAGTTACTAAATCAGCCTACTATCACCTAAAGAATATATCTAGGATTAAAAGACTAATGTCACAGCAGGATTTGGAAAAACTTGTCCATGCTTTTATCTTCAGTAGACTGGACTACTGTAATGGTGTCTTTAGTCTCACTAAAAAATCTATTAGAAAGCTGCAGCTGATTCAGAACGCCGCTGCTCGAGTCCTCACTAACACTAAGAAAGTGGATCACATCACTCCTGTTCTGAAGTCTTTACACTGGCTTCCTGTGTGTCAAAGAATAGATTTCAAAAATACTGCTGCTGGTTTATAAATCACTGAATGGTTTAGGCCCAAAATACATTTCTGACCTCCTGCTAAATTATGAACCATCCAGATCTCTCAGGTCTTCAGGGACTGGTCAGCTTTCTGTCCCCAGAGTCAGAACTAAACATGGTAAAGCAGCGTTCAGTTATCATGCTCCAAATATCTGGAACAAACTCCCAGAAACCTGCAGGTCCGCTGCAACTCTGACTACTTTTAAATCCAGGCTGAAGACTTATCTTTTTGTCGCTGCTTTTAATTGAAACTGAGCCGTTGTGTTTCGTTTTTGGTTCATGAACATTTGGGGCTAGTAACCCCAGGGAATCAGTGTCTGGGGACTTTGTCCTGGCTGGTTTTCTCTGTGTATGCTGCTCGGGACGTATGTGCCATACAAGCGTACACCGCTCATGTTCGGAGAACCCTTAAAGAAAGGCATCAGTAAAGTGGAACTTCTGTGTGAACTATTCATATCTTAAACTGCACTGTAACTTTTTATTCACGTACTTTTTACTCATGTATTTTTTCTTTTAAGGTTTCTTTTATTATCTTTTATTATGCGTCTGACTGTCTTTCATTTTTGTAAAGCACCTTGAATTGCCTTGTATTGAAAGGGGCTATATAAATAAACTTGCCTTGCCTTGTACTGCACATACTGATTCTCTAAATAGAAAAACATTGAATAAAACCTCTGGCACAGAGCGCAAAGAAACACTGTTATATTCCCTGACTTTTTTGAGAAAACACAAACATTCCACCCACATCCAAGAACAGACAATGCCACGGCTGACCTCACACTGTTGGTCAGGTTATCCGCACATAGACAGGACAGCTCAGACATTATACACACAAAAACAGTCACTTCAACAGACAGACACACATGCACGAACATACACATAGCCATTTCCCGTAATAAGTGCTTATCCTAGTGTCCTTTCTTTTCTCTCGTGACTACACACAACTCTCCCTCCCCCTCACATGCACAATAGCATATGTACACTCACAGACACACAGACAGCTGTGCAGGATTCAAAGAGCTGGGTCATGAACATAAAAACAAACCCACTCATGCTGAGGAAATTGTTAAGGCCTGGGGAGAAAGAGAGAGAAAGAGGGACACAACTCTGAAGTAGGGTAACTCCCTCCTTGGCCTTTTTCATAAGGCGTAGGACGGACAAAAGAGTGCACCCAGCAGGCTTTCAGCACGGGCAGTAAAGCCAAAGCTCTCTCAACCGGGATTTCATTTCCAGCAGGATCAAGAGTTTAGTCAGTTTGCAGTTCATCTTTTACAGTGAGTGAGCTGCACCACCAATTGGGTTAGTAAAAAGAAGGAGACACAACAAATGTGTTTTTTTGGCTGTTAAAATCTGGGGAGGACTTTCAGTAGACAGAGAAAGCTACAGAGTGAAAGCTCCCAAAAGACGAGACGGACAATCTGAAAGGCGATACATATAATACAGTCCAAGGTAAGGCTACATGTCTATGTTGTGTTGTACAGTACGTCTTTGTTGTGCATGTTTTTTTGGAGTTGACACCCAACATCTGTGGGAGGATTACTCCAGTTTTTAAAGCAGAGAGGATTAGAACCATATCTGCATTTAGTGTGTAACACATCATTCTGCAACTATTCTGCAGTAGGTTCACTGACAAACCTCGGGAGATTGTTTTTTTAATGCCAGACAAAACTTGCTGCTTGTTTCCTGTTAAAGGGAGTATTTCATAGCAGAGAAGGAATCTCTAAAATGCACACTTTAACCACTACTTTCTCACTTTGAACACGTTACCTTTATTTATACAGTTTATGGTCGATACCTTTAGGCAACCATGCACGCTGGAAGATACCACCGGAGCGACATCCTCCTGTTTACATTGGATTTACTGGTCCTGTTGGGGGTGTGCAGCATCCGGGGCTGTCGTATAGGCTCAGGCTCAGAGTGTGAGAAGGCCCCTTTTGTCCCGGGCCACAACTTGGCTGGGGAGGGTTTTGATGTGGTGCGGATGCGTCGAACTGGGGCATACGTCATCAATGTCAAAGCTCATCTGGCCGACAACCACACCTGTACACTGTGTCCAAACCGCTTCCAAGAGGGACAGGTGAAAACTCCAAAACTCAGCCTTCTATTTTTAATTCTTTCCACGGTGTCTTCAATCAATCTCAATTCATTTCACCTAATTCTTACCAATAACTCTCTTGTGTTCCTTCTTCCCTGCACTGTACCCATCATCCTGCCATCTCTCTCCTCCTCAGATTCAGAGGCTCCCAGCTGCAGTGCTCGACTGGCGTCCCTTCAGCCGCTGCAGTAAGCAGCTTTCCAGTGCCCTCCACCACTCTGTGGAATCCCTGCTGCGCAGCTCCAACTCGCTGGTTAACAACAACTGGGGCCTGGGTCTTAGTTTAGATAATATTGGCAAGGCAGTGCTGGGAGGAAGCCGCTCAGACTTGGCAAAGTTTGCTCGTTCGCAGCACAGTGTGGACAAGGCCACGTTTGCCACCCATGAAATCAGTTGCACCTACTACAGGTAAAGAGAAGGGAGGCTGGTGTACCACTGGTGATTAGTAAGAATATGCAATTTGATGATGTGTAAATACCTGGAGTCATTCATATGCAGCAAGGCCAGTAGCCAAATAATATTACAGTAAATGCAATCTGCAGATACTAGCTTTTAATGTTTTTCCTGTATTTATAGAAGGCAAATATATGTTTTCCATATACACTGTAGGCTAAAGATGTGTGCAGATGTTTTTTCTTTAAATAGACTTTAGATTAAAGTCTTGTTTTTATGGTTGAACTGCACATGCCTTTTGTTTTTTCAGCTACAGGCTGGCTGATCACCCCGAGCTGAGTGCAGAGTTCACAAAGCATCTAAAGAGACTCCCACAGAGCTTGAATACGACCAAGAACAGAGCCCTATATAGACGGCTGATAGACACCTATGGAACACACTACATACACCAGGTCAGTGGAGAACAGTGTTCTTTTTCTGTCTTGGTACTTGTGCTGCAGAATGTCTTTTCAAAAGAATTGCAAATACTGCTGAAGATAAGGATGCAGGGTGTATATGATGAACATTTTCATATTTGTTCCGTCTCCTAGGTCCAGCTTGGTGGCAAGGTGAGGCGAATCACTGCCTTCAGGACCTGCCTGGCCACTCTGAAAGGGTTCTCCGAGTCCGACATCAAAAACTGCCTGAACTTTGAACTCCGAATGGCTCTAGGTTTCCTCCCTGGCAATGTATCCTTATCCAACAAGTGCGATAACCTCCTGAAGGGTAACATGAGTATGGGCTTCTACCAAGGCTTCATGACCCATAAGATTGAGGTTATTGGAGGGGAGAGGTACTTCCCTGACATCCTCTACCAGGAGGACCCATCTGAAGCGTACCAGAGCTGGATGAACAGCCTCCACGATAATCCAGACGTGGTTTCTTACGCCATCTTCCCCCTGCATCATCTGGTGGATGACTCCCAGATCAGTGATAATCTGAGAAGCCTCGTCACAGAGTATATTAAAGATAACCAGCTGCAGGAGGCAGTGCTTGGTTTCAAGAACTGCTCCCCGACTTCCAACTTGGACCACAACTGCTGCCCTCTAAGAGCCGGCAGAGGAACGCTCAGGCTAGAGATCCACAGAGCGGGAGGCCTGAGGGCAGACACCTTCACAAAAACCGACGCCTACGTTAAGATCTTCTACAATGGCATGTACGAGGAGACGGAGACAGTGATGGACAACAACGACCCGGTGTGGAACGTGACTTATGACTTTGGATCGGTAGAACTTGGTCAGGCGTTGAGGTTTGAAGTCTGGGATCGAGACGTTCTCTACAATGATGTAGCGGGTAGATGTGTTGTCTTCCCTGAGCGAGGAACTCACTCTCTAAGCTGTCAGCTGAGCAAAGGAGTTCTCTATTTCACCTATACCATCAAATGTGATGCTCACTTGACAGGCTTCAGATGTGGACGATATTCCCCCAATGCTGAGTAATTATTAGATTACAATGCGTTAATGTAGATTTGAGCATTTCCTTCATACAAAAAGGGGCACTTTTAATTATCAAATGTCTTTCAGTAGCAGCTAGTAAACTGTAATGTCCTACGTTTTGTTTTAACTGTAATGATTTGTCAACATTTTTAATGCCAGACCAACTCCCCCTGATATGAAATGCCACTTCAGTAGGTTTTGGTAGGTTGTTTTCAGAGTCATCGTCTTGTGCATCGAATGCACAAACCAAAATAAAGATTTTCGCCTATGGTTGTCTTAAGTCTGATACAATTACATATATCAATAATGCATTGATAACCAAAAGGGCTACACACAATCACCATTTCAAGTAGCAGATGCACCATATAATTTTTTGTTTTGTTCTAGGTAACTCTTCACGTTACATTATTTAAACAATTTCTCCCCCTCTTTCCATTTGCGGGTTTTCCTGATTAAACAATGTAGGCATGACCACACAACCATTTATTCAATTTTTTTATTAATCACTTTTAAACAGAGACCTTAGAAACATACAAATTACTTATTAAAGCTTTTACACTCACAATACATTAGCCACTTTGAATACAGTACATGGATGCAGCAGCTGTTTGTTCAAATCCTTTCCTCCTTCACTGAGCTCAAGATATTTAAAAAGGAGTAGAAACAGCAGAGAAACCAATTAATGCACCGTTCATATGTAAAACATTCTATTTCACATTTTTCTAGTTTTAAACTAAAAAAACCTGGAATAATTGCACCGACTACAACCACACAACCATGTTACATCTGTATACAAATGTAATTCGGTCTTTGCCAAGAAAGGTGAAAACTGGACATATAACAGAGAATTCAATTAATCAGATTCTTGGTTGACTTTCTGATGAAAAACTGCCATCTTGAATATGGTAACACAGCAAATTAATGTAAATGGGAACAATTTATGTATAGTTTTCTAATCTGCTGCAGTGGACCAAATAAGCAAAACAAATTTGATGTAAACAACTCTTCTTTTTAGAAGCTGGCAACTAAGAGTGTTACATTAGGCACAATGCAACACTGTCGGGTAGGAAAAATGTTAAAAGATCTTTCATCCTACATCTTCTGTACTAGAAGTTCAACATTTCCTCCATCCAAGAGCACCAGTATGTATAATTTACCCAATCAGCAACACCACCTTGATGTGAGTATAATGATATAAGACTGCATGTGTTCTGGGAACTTAGAACATTATTTTGTTCGAGTGCAGTGTACTCCAACACTTGCTGCATTACTAACGGTTTGATCTGAAATTCTTAACCCTTTCTATCAAGTTTTAACAGAGAATCCTTGTGTAACATATGCAAACATTAAGAAGGCAGCAGTTTAGTTGTGCCTCTATACTGCTCTCGTATTTAAAGTAGGAACAACTGATGTGTGTGCATGTAAAAAAACAATATTTTAGGCACAGCTCAAGCATGTAGATTAGATCTTAATATCAGAACTTTTTTCTCTTTAATGGCGGGCATATGGTTCTCAGTAGTTTTCCAGTATCGATACAAAAAATGTGTTCAGTCAAAACACTGAAGTCTGCCCAGAATCACAGGGATGCCATAAAAAGTCTATTTGTTCAGGCTCACGGTTCATCCGTTTGTGTATCACAGTCCCAGTGAGGCTTTGAGCAAAGACGCCATATCTTCTGGTATGGTCCCCTCACCACCTGAAGACAACAACATTGTTTATATTTTTGTCTTATTTGCATATCATTCAAAAGGTTAGGATAAACGCAAGTCCCCTGATTCACTGTGTGCCCAGAAATATGGCTGAGACACAGATTGGTCACTGCTCTTAATCTTTTGATGTATTGCCTGCAAATCTATGCCAACGCAAGTAGGCACCTGGAAGTTGCCTTACATCTTCTCTGATCCACATTTTTCATACAAAGCTTTACTTTATCAATTCAATGTTTAAATTGTTCCTACATATTGTAAGGCAAGAATTATTTCTATATATAAATAAATAGTTATTTCTGTATACACAATAGTCATTGCATGCCTGTAGGACCTGATAGAAGTTATTCCTTTCGTGCTTTTCCTGAACTATTATGAACATATTATCAATCCCAGAAATGTTCTGGAACAGTTACAGTTTAAAGAAATCTGCTCAAACTGTATTTGCACTTCAATCCTGCTATATTTATCAGTTCTTAAATTTGGAACTGCCGTTTGTTTTTTGAGTATAACATTCATTTTGATATACTATTTTTCTTTCCCAACAAGTAATTCTCGGCATCTCTGCAGAGTTTAGGACATTTCTTTATTGTTGGCAAAGCAGTGCTGGAATCCGCTCGTCCTCATTCCTTACCTGCTGTCATTGATTTGTTAAGTCTGTTATTTTTAGAGTAAGTTTGTGCTATAGCATTGGATTTGGATTATTTAGGTTACATAATCAAATTAAAATCTAGAAGATGTCTTCATTAAGATTATGACCATGCGGTCAATAAAGCATATGTGACCCGCTCTATCGAAATCAGTCGGAAGTCGCAACGGCTCATTTCAAAATAAACGTGGATTTGCGTAAAAAACTATTTTTTCGGGGTTTGGGTGTTTTGTTTGATTTTAAACAAACAAAGTCTTGGCTTTCAGAATATTAAACTTTTATTTCCAAACTCACACGATAAATACATTCTTTAAGCTTGTAAAGGGAAGATGACAGGCAATCTGCTCTTCCGCAGCGCCGCCCCCCCTCCCTCCGGTGACATTATGAATGTAAGCGTAGAGTAATCATAGATAACACGGCAGGGTCCGTTACAGTTTGTTTTCATCTGATTTCAATTAAACAAAGTCTTGGCTTTCAGAATATTAAACTTGTTTCAGCAAATTCAGATGATAAATACAGCTTTGAAGCTTTTAACGGCATAATTACAAGCGGAGAACGGAGTAATTTAACGTCACTGCAGGCATAACAACAGCCGGTGTTTCTCGTGAGGGTTTTCCCCGGGAAACAAACGCAATACGCAAAATTACACACACACACACACACACACACACACGTATACACACACACACGCGCGAGCTTCCCCCAGACCAGTAATCCAAACGAAAATATCTTCCCTCCGTACTACTTTGATCATTTGCTCCGATAATAACCAATCAGATCGATGGATTCCAGAGAAGAGGAAACTTTAAAGGCCTTTTTCTCAAAATGATGACTCGGTGACAGTCATTATATAATGTGACATATTTCGCTTAATATTTGGAGAACAAAAACAATCCAGATATCATTAGAAAGCTAGGAATCTCCTCTTTCCAACAGTGTATACAACTCAAAATGTGTCTTCGGGTCAATGTGACTGATTTCGATGGAGCAGGTCACATATGTATGTGTAGAAATCTCCTTACCTTCAGCAGCGGTCATGTCCTGTTCCAGCTTCAGTTTCCTCTGGCCCAGCTGCAGCATGATGGCCTCTATGCTGTCCTTGCTGATCAGCTTCGTCACCTGTACAGTCCTGATACCAACAAAGAGCTATATTAGTCATTCAGGAAATCAATAGATGAAGCATTGCTCTGGAAGGAGGAGGTCCTGTGTTTTCAAAGAATACTTAATGCATCAGCCTGAGATTTCATCAGAATCTGCAGAAGTGTTTTCAGTCAAATTGCTGATATAGTAAGTTGGTAACTAGACCTCATTGGATAACACTCCAATAAACAGATACATAAATCCAATCTTACTTGGTCTGGCCTACACGGTGACATCTGTCCTCTGCCTGTTTGTCATTGTAGGGATTGCAGTCAATGTCATGTAGGATGACAATATTAGCGGATGTGAGGTTGATGCCCAGGCCACCAGCACGTGTTGACAACAGGAACACAAATATGTCAGGATCCGTGTTGTACTCATCAATCAACCCAATCCTGCAGGAAAAAGAAACATTTGAATTAAAGACTGTTTATTATTAACAGCTACAATTAAACATGTGATAGACTTACTGAATCCACTGAAGTCTAACCAATATCTACACATTTTAAGGATTGTGTTTCATAGTTCTACTGTAAAACACTGACCTGTCGGCTATGGGTGTAGATCCATCCAGTCTGATATAACGATGCTTAAGATGTCGCATCAGCACCTCGACAATATCCAGCATCATGGTGAACTGACTGAATAATACCACTCGGTCACCCTGTAAGGTAGTAGAAAAGTGTTGGTCCATGATAAGATGTTTACTCTTCAATACATGCATCTGCGCTCTTCCTGCATGCACCGCAGACATGGTTCTGCACATATTTATTTACCTTGTTTTTATGTGAGGCCAGCAGCTCTGTGAGGTGGTGAAATTTCCCTGAGTCAAGCAGGAGTTCAGTTTCAAGCTGGTAAGAGCCGATGGAGGAGAACTGCTTGCACAGCAGATGTAGCTCAAAGTCTGACATCGCTTCCATGTCCTCCTGGATCAGAACAGCGTTTGCATCGAAGTGAGTTGGCTCCTGTGGGGGGAGGGAAGAGAATGTTTGTTTTAGAAGAGGCAGAAAACAAGGAGTAGGAAAAGAAAGTGGTACGAAAGGAGGGGTCAAAGGACAGATATACAAATGGAATCACAAACAAACAAAACAAAGAACATGGAGGCCATACGACCCAGCGGAAAAGACATCCCGGCATTCGGACCCACCTTGAGCATGAGTTTGCTCATTGCTTTGAGCTTTTCTGTGGTGTAGTATTGTCGATGAAGCAGAGGGTGGTTGGCCATTTTCCTCAATTGCATCATCACATTACACAACTCGCGCTCTGCAGAAAAAAACGCACGAGGACAATTATTAACCATACATTTATTTCTGTTATCTGACAAAAATACCGTAACACTCGGATGTTCAACAGGTAGCAGTGAAACAGGCTTACTCTCTCCTATAATGGTAGTCTTGAGTTTTTTGAACATGTTCTGGTAGAGAACCTGCTGCTTCTCACTCATCGGGCAGGACTCGACCTTCTCCACCTTGGCTGGCAGCTGCTTGAGGACCTGAAACAAAAGAAAGTACATTACATATTTACAATTCTTACCCAGGGTTTGAACTACAATTACCCTCATGTGACCATCATTTAGCAAATAGAGACGTTCTACAAAATCTATGTTTGCTAAAGTGTGTTTAAGACAATTGATTCTTCCCTAACAGACGGAATCAACATGTTCATTGGAGTCTACTATTTCAGTTCATAGCTGGATGCAGGGAAAGCATTTCATTTATTTGCCAATATTTTACATCAGGTTTTGAGACCAAAAACTGATGACTGAAAAACAAAAAGATTCTGCCAGATTTACCCCCATAACAGACTTCTCACATTCATTATATTTACACAACACAAATGTGTAGCTGTAACTCACCTCGCTCTTGACTCTTCGGAGGATAAAAGGTTTCATGATGAGTTTAGCCTGAGAAATACGGTCCCTTTCAAAGCGGCTCTGCTCCTCCTGGGATTTCTGTAACAAAACAGAAAACATTGACTCCTTTGGTAGTTGGCATTACATTGTTCTGGTCTGGTTTAGTGAAACAATAGCTGCTAAAGTTTGATTTGAAAAAAGGGACTCAAAGAAACCGCAGATAAGTTGTCAAAGTGAAGATCACTTCCTTCAAGCAGCCTGCTCAGTCAGGTGTTGCTTTAATCTGACCAGCGTTTCAGCATTTAAAGCCGTCACACCATGTTCCCCCCATCTGGTTGGCGTGCAGTTATTTGTTGTTATTCGGCTTCAAACAGAACCGGGTTTTCACACAAACACTGACCATTGAAAACATTTTGGAGAGCTGGTGAGTGGAGCTGGAGAACAAAGAAGGCATGATGAAGTTCAGAAGAGACATGAGCTCCAAGAGGTTGTTCTGGAGAGGAGTTCCAGTCAGCAGCAGGCGATGTTCTGCCTACGGAGCGAGAGAGGGACAAAGAGACATCCCACACTGTGATGTGCAATACTTTGGACAGAAAGGGAGATACCACAGAAACATGCTGATTGTGGTTGTAAAAAACGTCAGTTAACTAACATTAATAGACATAAGGTGGCGGTATCGTAGAGAGTTCATGTTCTTCAGCATGTGACCTTCATCAAACAATGCATACTTCAGACGCAGTTTACGGAACACACCGCGGTCGTTATCGTTTCCTATGGCCATGTTATATCTGTAAAACAAATCAAACAATATAGAATAAAACAATGTTGAGTTATGTTGAGGTGTAGGAGAAAAGTTATTTCCACCACCAGCACTGAAATCTGTCAAATATGATTGAGAGAGTGCGTTTGCTCACGTGGTCACAATGACGTTGTATTCAGTCTTGTCATCGAGGAGTACGTGTCTGAGGTAGCGGCGGTCCTCTAAGGATCCTGCGTAAACATTTACATACTGCTAAAAATGGTGACATGTCCCTGAATGAGACTGTGTACTGCATACACAACTATGATTGATAACATTAAACACAGTTCACACATATGCGAGGTTCATGGAAAACCATAGGAGAGATTTCAATGTGAAAAGATGAAAGAGGAGTCATACCACAATAGACTACAACTTTGAGGCGTGGACACCACAGCTTCATCTCTCTGACCCAGTTATCTGCAACAGAGAAAAGGAAACCACCAAAGGTAGTGTCAATGGCAAACGCAAACAAACGTTTACATACACCAAAGCAACACAAGAGTTGACAACTTTATTTCTTACTGGTCCTCTTCCATAAAAATAAAAACCACATGCAGCTACGCTTAACATTATAATCTAAAAGTGTGTTATTCAAATGACACAATATTCAGGAAGGTAGCAAAGTGCTTCGGATCATTACCCAGGGTGGAAGCTGGCACAACGATGAGGTGAGGACCCTCTATTCCCATCTGGTACAGCTCGGCCAGAAATGCTATAGCCTGGATAGTTTTCCCCAAACCCTGAGCGACGGAGAGAGAGAAAGACAGTCAGATAACAAACACAGATAAAGAGGTAAACAAAGAGCCAGGTGGACATACAAAAAAGATATTTGAACATCTCTGTTTCAGATCACACAAGCAGCAAAAACCTTGACAGATGTCAACACTTCCACACAAATAAAAGGTTCTTACTTCTTTAACCGTCTTAGGACTAAATCAACAGGATGAACTGTCTGCTGCAGGTTCTCTCCTTTTCTACATTTTGTTTCACCTGGCTACATATCCAGACAAAACACTCTTTGATAGTGGCACAGTAACACTCATTGAGTGGTGACAAGTTGTAAGCCCCCGCCGTCCTGCTGGCTTAGAAAATGTTAACATTTATATGTTTATGAATTTGATCAACATCTCATGAAGGCTGGATGTCTTACCATTTCATCAGCGAGGATCCCACTCAGTTTGTGCTCATACATAAGCAGCATCCACTTTAGACCAATCAGCTGATAGGGTTTGAGCTGGTTACTGAAAGATAAACGGTAACTGACTGAGAACAAGAAATTGATTCAACAATTAAATAAACAACACATACTGTATGTCATCCTTAAAGGTAGGGTAGGTAAGAATGGAGAAACCAGCTCAAGTGCGCTAGAATTTGAAAGTACACAACCGAAAAAAATATGCCCAGACTTCCTTACAGTAGTGTTCATTTCGTTGACTAAAACTATGACGAAATATGTTCGTCAACGACCTTTTTTTCCATGACGAAAACAAGACGATGACGAGACGGCAGTAAACAATAACTGTAACGAAATCATCATGCAATATCGTTGACGAAAAGTGACGAGACGAAAATGTAGTTTACTAAATAAAAACTATGCCAAAATCTCCCTTTACTTTCGTTGACGAAAAATGAGGAGACGAAATATTATCAAAGATAACGTTACATCTCTGATAGTCAGTTTTTCTCCCAGCAGTTCCATTTCCGGTGCTGCGGCAGGGCAGCAGCTGTGTGTCTGTGGTGCGCTCGGCGGTAGATTTGAATTACACCGGGCAGCGGCACAATATGAACTGTCAGGAAGACTCGGGTCTAACTCATGGTCTAACTAACCTTATTTAACAGAAAATAAAATGGCAACAACAGGGCTTGGGAGCAGTGGTCGCACTCGCGTTAACCGAATACCCCCCCGTCAGCGCGAGTGATTGATAAATTGTGCACTCGACGGGTAATAATGGATTATGACGGAAATGTTACAATCCTGTCCGTCAAAATGACTGACAACGAAAAAGTCTAAAGCCACCACTGCTTGGGAGAAAGAAACGATGTGATATTTGGGCCCATTTTCGCTACAATGAGGCGGAGAAAAAAAGCGAATACATTGTTTTATCAGAAGGGAAGCAATGTGGCCATAACACAGCTGGTAAAAACACCACAAACCTGACCAGATACTCTCTGCAAAGCTGCATAATCATTCAACCTGTGTTTTTCATCAAATAAGGACAAGATATAATCTTATTTATTTATATATACTAAAATGACAAATTATTGGTTTTGACTAGTTTGACTGAAATGTTCTATATAATCTGATGACTAAAAAAGACTCAACAGTTTTTATTGACAAAAAGTAGACTCAAATAATTAGTTTTCTTTGACTAAAATAAGACTAAAATGCTCAGACTTTTAGTCGACTAAAACTTGACTAAATAAAAACAGGATGAAGGTGACTAAATATGACTAAAACTAAAAAGGAAATTTAACACAGGACTAAGACTAAAACTAAATAAAAAAATAGCTGACGAAATTAACACTACCTTACAGAGCCCCTCCTCCAACACACACGGACATGACCAATGAGGGCACGAGATAAGTTTGTGCACAGATGGAAGGCTGACAGGCAGGTAGGCCATCCAGTTATTTTAGCCGGCTAAAATGATTGGTCGTGCTTTTTACAGCGCCACAGCTTCCACAGATGAAATATTTTATATGTATTTAATGTCAAAGCATTTAATGTATTTATTGCTATCGGGATGTTAAGAGCATTCCATGGAATATAACAAAAAGTGTTTCTGAAGTGAATTACCTACCCCACCTTTAAGTCCTAATGCATATTTTATGTTAACAAATATTAAAAGATGCGACCCTTGTAATATCAGCTGGGTTTTGTCTAAACCGGCTGACAGGGGCGCCACGCCCTCTTACTTTTGGCGTGTGCCCTCATAGCAAAATGCCGATTTTCCCCGTAAAAAAATAATGTACAGTGATGAGCAGAAAACAATATTTCTGGTCATCAACAACTGTATGATTACTCAAAAAATATGAAAATCGTGTCAAATAGACCGTCAGACAGCTTTGTTTTCATGGAGTTCCGACATGGTGTTGTTGTTTACGTCTGCGGCGCCATCTTTAATACGGGCGTCATGTTCTCGCGAGAATTCATATTTCTTATTTACAAGATCAGCACCACAGTACTGTCCTCATACTATATTTTTCTAGAAAAACCCCTGATCAGTGACACTGTTAGAGGGATCTACCATGACCCTCTCAAAAAATGAAACCCAGGATATTTAGAACATATAATGAGAAAAATAAATGCACCTATCAGCCTCATGTGCCGAATGAGAGTTTGGAACAGCTCTAAATCATGGTGGGTACACTCAAATGAATTATGGTTTTTTGTTTATGTGCATTTACTCACTTTCTGTTGAGGAGTTTGGGCTGTTTCAGGGCCGCTGTGCCCCTCTCCATTACCGCAGTGACCTGTTTGACCATTTTTGAGGAAATGGTTTGACATTTGGACATCAGCCCCAGGACAACCTTCCGCTCTTTTAAGACAACTCTGCAGCCCATCAGTAAGTTCTCCGATAGTCCCTTGTCCTTAGTGAAGAAATCAACCTAAAAGAGGAAAGAGCAAACTGTCACGACTCACACAATATGAGGAGTATCTACACAGGAACCATTAACACAATCTTTTAGTAGTCCTTAAATGTCCTGACAGTCAAGAATCACTGACCCTTATAGGGCCAAACACACTTCATAAAAAGGTGCTAAAACACTGCTAACATTATTGTTAAGTTTGATATATTAAAAGATAATGAAGTGTTTGGAAAGTTAAAAAACTCAATCTAATAAACGAGAGCAGTATGAAAGATGTGCTATGAGCTGAAAAATTGTTTAGCTATTCAATACATTGTGCAAATGTCTTGTCTCTACAAGACCGTGGAGTAGTGCGCTCAATAAGTACAATAATGAACATGTCACACATTTTCCAGGTGTTTGGATGGAAAATTCTACGACCGACTGTTCTTTGTATTCACAACTTTTCCTATTGATAACTTTAGCAAACTGTTTAATATGACATGCGAGAAACACCTGCGTGTCTATTTGATGTTTCTTGCCTCATTCATTCGGAAACACACAAAAGCATTCTCTCACCAGACTTTGCCAGCCCTCAAAGGGCCTCCGTTCAAAAATCTTCTTGGCCTTTTTAACAGAGCACCCAGAGATTAGCGACAGCTCATCGATCGTTGCGTCCTGGAAGAACTGGAGCATCTCTTTCTTCAGATCCGTCATGCCACCTTTACAATCCAGCTCATCATCCGAGTCCTCAAACTCACTGCTTACCGTTTCCTCTTCATCGTCATTTTCACCCTCAGAACTGACATGTTCATCTGAGGCAAGAACCTTCTTCTTTCTCTCTGCTGCCTGCTTCTTAGCTATACTGGTCCCACTGGCAAATCTGGAAAGCATCTGAGCAGTAGAGGTGGAGGAGGATGGCATCAGGAATGCAGAGGTAGTGAATTTCTTGACAGAGGATGATGAAGAAACCAAGTCAGGACTTTTTACAAGTGTTGAAGTGCTTCTTTTGTTTCTCAAATCTACACTGCTGTCGGAATCTGGATCCTCACTGTCCTGTGTAACTTCTGTATCACCATCTTGATCACCTTTATTGTTCTCCTCTGATTCACTTGATATGTCGTCTTCGGAGTCTTTTCGATCTTTTCTACTTTTACTGTCTCTGTGATCTTTGTGTAACCTCGACTTCCTGTGGTCCTTGCTCGACGTTTGCTTGCTCTTGGATTTCCTGGATTTGTTTTCATTCGAGTCAAGAGAGCTGAAACTGGATTCATCTGACAATAGAAATAAAGAAAGTCTTAGCTGGAATCCACACACACACACACACACACACACACACACACACACACACACACACACACACACACACACACACACACACACACACACACACACACACACACACACACACACACACACACACACACACACACACACACACACACACACACACACACACACACACACACACACACACACCACACACACACACACACACACACACACACACACACACACACACACACACACACACACACACACACACACACACACACACACACACACACACACACACACACACACACAGTTAAAAGATGGCTAGATTCAGATGACAGCTGTTTTGTATGTACCAGGGTCTGAGAACATCTGTAGAACCTGCAGAGCATCCTCTACATTCCAGTCGTGTTCCTGCAGAACCATACGCAGCTCCTGCAACAAGACAGACATCAGCAAGAGTCAGAAGTAAAACATAAGATCCACCGTTTCCTAAATGAGCCTTGCAAAATTTGTTTTCATTGTGGTCTGTCCTGGATGCTGAGAACAGTTTGTATTCTTTTTTTCAGGGCAACCAGTGCCTTTATTGTAGAGACAGGCTTGAAATGGGGAGACAGAGGGGATGACAGTACACGGGCCACCAGCTCTACCAACTGAGCTATACGGCAGCCCAGCACACCCACAGTTGTCATGTCATCATCATCAATGCCTGAACAGTTTGAAAGGGGGGAATCAGGTTGTACTAAACCTGTAATCAACACTACAAATAAACTACGATGGGATCAGACCAGCAATAATGCCAAATTGTGCCAGGGGCATAAAGTGGGGGGCACTTCTTACAGCCCTACCACGGCTCACAAAGTAAGTCCAGTGTCATATACATCGGCTAAAGTACCACTTGCTCTGTGGTAGTTCTTGCTACAGTAAATGTATTCAGGAGCACATTTTGCAATGATGACACACATAGACTCATAAGGTGAAAACAATACCACTGTCTGTAATGAAATGTCCGAATGCTTCACAGACAGTCTTTCAGTCCTCACCTCCTTGTCCTGGTCAGGAAACTTTTTCTGCAGTTTTCTGACCATGGCGTCCTTCTTCTCTCGGCTTGGACTTTTGTCTCCCTCATCTTCTTCATCAGAAACCTTTTTTGGTTTACATACAAGCAAGAGTAAATACAAGCAAATGGGAACCCCTTTTACCACCTTAAATCAATAAAAACCTGAGACCCGCATTTGAAGTGGAGGGTGAGCCAAAATGGTCATGCAGACTGTTATCATATCAGCCTTAAGACATGACTAATATTACAATCATTTTGTGGAACATACCGGTCAAATAATAATTTCTGTTGATGTTATCTATATATCTGCAAATGTTTGCCCGTTAGAAAATGTAATATATATAAAACCTTCTTTTACACGAAGCGCAACAAACCAAAAGTTGTGTTTCTCTGCAGTGTATGATGAAATGGCTACTAAGATAACAGGAACTTTAATTGTTGTGTAGATTGCTTTAAACCATAAATGATCATTCTTTATCTTACCTCTAATGGCCTGTTCTTCTTGCTGGGTTGATCCTCACCACTGTCCTGAGAACTGCCGGATCCATCCTGCTTTCTCTTCCTGCCTTGGTCTGGGGCTGAGGAGACAAAACAGCCAGTGCTCTCAAAATATACAACTAGAGCAGAAAAGTTGCAAGCTAGGGAGAGGTTATTTTTATTTGGAGTTTTTACTGTGTGTTACTTGTGTTTCTGGTTCGGAGCAAGCATCAAATATAAATGAATATTAAATAAACAAAAAGTAAAACTTCCGCAGATTACTTTTCTCTAACTATGAACTAAACCTTCTTCATGCTACAACGACATGCAGGAATTAAGCACGTCCTTATAACAAATAAATGATTTACCTTCTTTATCACCAAATCTTAAAATGCATTCAGCTGCAGCCCCATCCAATGTGCTTGTGTTCTTAATTACCTGAAAATGAGACAAATCAGAAAAATACAAAAAGGGATTGTTTTTTTATGAACAGTGTCCATGTTATTGCTGGCCATTACATAAATGAAACACATAAAGCTTAAATCAGTGTATATTAAAATCAATCAAGTAAGACCACAATACAGATCCTGCAAATGGGCTTTTCCTTGGAATCAAATTAATTTGGTCAATGCCAAAAACTTAAAAATCCTCAATCTCGACTCACCTCCAGTACCTGCGTTCTTGTCAACTGAGGAAACATCTCCAGTAATCTGTCAGTTTTCTCCTTCAGTTCACAGTCCTCGTCATCTGTGTGATCTGATGCCACATTTTTTGATGATTTTCCTATGGGGTTTCTATAAAGACAACAAAACTGTAAACCAGAATGAATCGGAATGAATGTGAAAAGATATTTTAGTTTACACTTACTTGAACTTCCTAGCTAATGTTTTGTTTTTTGTTTCAGAGATGAGCTCATCCTCCTCTAGGTCAATTGTAAGGACTTCCTCAAAAACCACTCCTCGGGCATTGGACTTTGTTTGGGCTTTGACCGGTTTCATCTTTGCTGTAAGGCAAAATATTAAAACAAGTTAGCAGATGCATTCACAGCAGTAATGCACACTACTAACTGTTAGCAGAAAAGTATTCAGCTATTTTGGTTTTTATGGCACATGTCAATGTTCACCTGCTTGTCTCTCATATTCAAATGAGTGTCCATCATGATATCTGGATACTGTAGAATTTAAAACTAGATTTCATTATTATTTCAGTGCAGCTCTGGTTGGATGATAACAGTGAGAGTGACTGCTGAGAATAATGTCAGAACCTCCTTTAGGGTTGGGGATTTTGTATACTAGAGTATTCTATGCCCACACACAATTCCCTTTCCAAACGACTTGAACTACATACGATATATTGACAATTGAGATATTATTCATACATTTCAATGAAAACACATTAAATCAGAAACATCTACTAGGTAGTGAATGCATTTTGATGGACGTCTACCCCACTGTGGGAAAGAGTCACTTTGACCCGTAACAAAAGGCTGCATGATAATAAATACCATCTTATTTTAACTACTGCTAACGATAGCATATATGACACATCTAGCTAACAGCACAGTAGCCTAGCCTTTACATCAGCTAGCTATCGTTACCTGGCTTGTTCTCCTTCTCAGACTCGGGACTTTGGGACCCACTATCCTCTTCGTTGTCTTTTGTCGTCTTCTTATCATAACGAAAACGGTCTAAGTTGAACATGTTAACAGTCTGGTGCGTGTCTGACAGCGGCAGCCCTTTGTCTCCTTCAAGTCAGTAGTATTATCTCTGTCCTGTCGCATGAAGCACAGTGTTCCTGTTAGCCAATAAGACAACCTAGCTAACAAGCATCGGGTGTTAGCAAAGCAGCCAGGGTTAGGATAGAAACACGGCACTTTTGAGCTGTGTCACTTCCCTGTTTTAACCGCAACGGTTTTAAATAGATGGAATTATAACACACTGATTGATTACCAAAGACAGTCGTTTTGTCCTGGGTCCTTTCTCGTATCTCGACTAGAGCCGGTTTCCCGCGAACTCAAGCGGCCCTGGAGGATGCAATGACGGCTCCGCTGATTGGTCAGAGAAGGCTGGGGGGAAACTGACGGAGGAGTCAAGACAATACACTGTGGTCTACTTCCGTTTTTGCGCTCATAATGTTTTTCCGGCTCAAAAGTGACCAGCTATGCATTTATTGCTTCTATTCTCCCCCTGGTTTTAAGGGATTAACGTGGTGTAATCTAAAATACAAGGTATTATGGTGTCATGTTGTAACAGAGTTGTAAACGGTTGATTCCACAGTGGTATTATAAGAGTAGGAGGGGAACTATCTTGACAGTCGCTCCAATATGGCTTATGAAACCTTTCATCTCAGTGCACACAGCGCGGTGGTGACTATTTAAAAGTGATTTAATTATGAAAGGTACAATTATATGAGGTCAAAGAGAGCTTGTAGGACTGGATTTACCCTGATTTAGCCACATTATTTGTGTGCAGCGTTGGAAAGTAACTACTCAACAGGCCTACTTAAGAACAATTGTTGTTAGGTAGGCTTGGCTTGGCTTAATTTGAATATTTCCATGAACTGCTATTTACTGATACTTCTACTCCACTACATTAACTGTTTAAACCTATGTTTTACTCCACTAAACATAGCTGGGATAATATTAGTTGCTAGGCTTTGCAGATCAAGATTAACATTACTAATTGACTGTACTCAACCAGTAAATGATGATGCATTATTATAGATAACAACTCTATTGATCCCTGGGAGAAAATGTAAAAGATAGACATCTTTATAAGCTTTTTACATTGTAAGTGTAATAATGTTTCCATGATTGGGATAAATAATATTGTCCAAATGTAAAGCTGACCTTATAATTCTGAAATTGAATTAGTTACTGTATGATTAAATTGTGTTCTGATTGCCCTGTTTGAAGTGTTATTACCTGATGATCTGTTGGAGAGGTGTCTGAATACTGGGACTTTAGCTAGTCTTTCAGCTATTCCAAGTTGTTCTCCTGTGGATAAAGATAATAATAGAAGTCAATCAAAAAACAATCTCTATATATTTTCTCATTCATTTGTCAATTTTTTTCGTCATCCAGTTTGGTACATTTTCAGTCTTTTTGCAGTAAACATTTCTCACACAGCATGTATTGACTGGTCAAACTAAAACAATACAACAATCTTATGTATGACAATTGCTCTACTTCATTTAGTCGTGCCTGTCAAGTGCAAGTGCACACCTGACTGGATAGCAGCAAATATCAACGTTATTAGTTATGTTTGACAAGTCAGTTTAATAATAGTTCAAATATAATGTTTTTCAACAAAGTTCTTCTACACAAGTTGTCCACTAGATGCCACAATGTGAAATTTACCAACATTTTTTATCTGGTGAGACCAAAACTGTGATACATTTTCTGACCAAAAGGGGGCGGCAGCTGAACATTCTCTGAGATGGGATCAGGGTCTGTGAGGAGGTCTACCTGCAGAAACTCGTGTCGTGTGCTGGGTCCTTATAATAATAATAATAATAATAATAATAATAATAAATAATATTTTTATAGCGCCTTTCAGGAAACCCAAGGTCGCTTTACAAGTCGGGTAGGGGGGGGGGGGGAGTAGGGGAAAAAAGGCAGACAGGTTAAGGGGGTGGGGGGGGGGGGGAAGATTATCCCATTGCGATGCAGAGCAGCCTTCCTTATTCAAGCAGCAATAAAGGGGGTAACACAGGGTAACACAAGTTTATTAGAGAGAACATAGTATGTAACAGGATAGAAAAGAAGGTAATAGAATATGATTATTCAAAAACAAGAACTATGTAAAATCCCCTTTAATCTGAAAAAGGTCTATTTAAACTATTCAAATTATATTGATAATGAAGTTTATGAGACTCAAAATATTTCTTGCACAGTTTTATTGAAAGCAGCCTCACTCACTCAAAACGCCAGGTTCTTCTGGCTCTCAGGTAACCTTGCTTTCAAGAATTGTGCAAAAAACTACATAATGTGAATTGTTAGAGTATCATATAATGTAATGATTAAAATATCTACAATGATGTGTTACTTTTCCTTTCATCGTTTAGTCTTGATGGTCAAAGTCAATAGCAGATACCCTCCTACTTCACACACACACACACACACACACACACACACACACACACACACACACACACACACACACACACACACACACACACACACACACACACACACACACACACACACACACACACACACACACACACACACACACACACACACACACACACAAACCCTAACCCACCCAAAGTATTTTTAATCTGGGGTTTTACCTGATCAAAACAGTATAATATAATACAAATATGAAATAATATACAGACTGTTTGCATTAGACCCCTCGGTTGTCCTAACTGACTTTTCTCTGATACAGTAAAATGTCCCCACTAATGTACTTACACCTGTAGCCATTGCTCAGATACAGTGAATATATTATGATTGGGTTGGGTCTATGGTCAGAACACCATAGCGCCACCCTGCCGCCTTACTGTCGCCCCCATCATTGTCATGGAGACCATGTGAGTTCATGTGTGTGTGTGTATGTTTTTGCTATACCCAGGGCACAAAAGGCAGACTGACACAGAGTCTGATAGGGGTCATGACCCCTCACAGCAGGAAGCTCAAACTGTGGCTCCTTGCCTTCTCCTGTCCTCCTGGTCAAGGTTTTTATTCATGTGTCTATGCGTGTGTGCGCCTTACATCTGCACTTGTACAGTCCTTTTTTGTTGTTGTTTAATTTCTTTTGTTTTGTGAGGGTTGTTGCACATGTGTCCGTTTACTTTGGGAAAGGCACACAGACAAGTAGGCGCATATGTAACAACACAGAAATATAAATCACCAGGCTGTCCAGATACCGAGGCAATTCATTAGCATGTGCATTAAAACACACACACAGACACACACTCACGTGCGCACACACACAAACACACACACACAGCTTAGATTTGAGGGTGATGACATTTTGGCTAGAGGCGTTAACTGAGATAATTGACTGGATTCAATCAATGTGCAAAAGGGAAGCAGGTGATGTGACGTTTTACTGCTTTTGAAAACACATTTGAATTCAATATCAATATCCACATGAAATACAAACACACACACACACACACACACGCACACTAACCCACATACTGTATTTGTGAGTGCTTTTGATAATAAAACATGTTTTACACTTTATGCATGAAATATGCAAATAGCTTGCATCTGCATATATTATGTGTTTATTATGTGTCATGTGTTATACTAACTGCCTGCATGTGACATGCATGCATTTCATATCCATGTTTTTATGGTTGACCCAATCGTGGTGTCCCAGCCGACTCGTCACAGAGTCTGTCACCACCCAGTCACCAAGGCGCCCAAACTTGGCCGAGACCCGACGGCGGCAGGGAGCACCTTGTCACCGTGGTAACACGTCTGGGATGTAACCCCCCCACCCCCCAAAAATACATAGAGAGACAAACACACACTAGATAGATAGATAGATAGATAGATAGATAGATAGATAGATAGATAGATAGATAGATAGATAGATAGATAGATAGATAGATAGATAGATAGATAGATAGATAGATAGATAGATAGATAGATAGATAGATAGATAGATAGATAGATAGATAGATAGATAGATAGATAGATAGATACATATACATTTGTGTATGTACATCATAGTGGAATACAACATTTAGAAGCAAGTAATCATACCTGCATTGTTACAGTAACGCTGCTGGAGATTGTCTGGCCTGTTTAGGAAACTCTGCATGTCTCACAGTGCCTTTCATACTGGTATTTTACTGAACCTGCACAGAGACCAAAAATAATTGGACAGATATTAATAAAATAGCACATTATTATATACTGTATGTGTAAGTATTTGGAACATACGTAGCATACAGGTGAGCAGTGCTTCAGGATCTGTGTGAGAAGTGTTAATAAATGTTTCAACACTTTGTTCTACAGAGAAAACTTGTCACCAGTGCAATGTAATTTAAAATGAAAAAGTTCAGAGATAATAAGAACTGTTGGCTGAAGTATCACTTGAACCACCTGTGGTACCTTACCACTTAAATGATGCCAAACACAACAGAACATAACTCAACGCTTGAGTTATATTCTGTTGTGTTTAGGGCCTAAAGCATAGCTCAACACATTAATGTGAACATCAGCTTGGGTTAATTAACTTGTCCTTAACTTAACTTTGTTTAATGTTTACACATAAATTACTTTGCTGTACACTAAATAAAGTACTAAAGTACACGTAAATGGATAAAACTGTCCATACTACTGTTTGAGGAAGGCTGTGGCTCAGTGGGTGGGTAGTGTGCCCGACATCGAATCAGGGGATAGCAAGTTCGAGTCCCACTGCAGTCAGCATGTCGTTGTGTCCCTGGGCAAGACACTTCACCCCAAATTGCTCCTGTGGGGATTGTCCACAGTACGGAATGTATGTAAGTCGCTTTGGATAAAAGCATCTAACAGATGACATGTAATGTAATGTAAAGATCAACCAGTATAACTTTGGAACGCAGAGCTAAGTGACTTTAGTTTGTTCCACAGAGTTTGGGGCATGCAATGTACCACACATATACAGTAGTTTATATGGGCAGCAACAATTCCTTTGGATAGCCCCAACATTTGCACACTACATGTTGAACTCATTAAAACACTCTCAAATCCTCCTCC